GACACGTAACCGAACTTGGGACTTCACATGTTTGCATGTATTAATATTTTTTATTCAATTTCTCCTCGCATTATTTCTTTCGTTCAATTTTTTTTTCGGGCAAAGTATAAGGTCGCGTAAGATAAACACTAATATTGTTTATGTAACATTCGGACGTAATCGTTGTTAACTCCATGGGTTTATGCAGGGCCGGCGCGAGGCAGCTTAAACGTATTCGCGTTTAAGAAAATTACTCGATTAAAAGACACCGACTTCGATTAATTTTCTACAGAATGACGATACCATTAACAGATTCAAGACACTTTTTGGTATCGACAATTCAGCTTAAAGGAGCGACGATAATCATCAAAATATTACTATTTAATATTCATCTTATAAAATATACATAATAAGCATTTGTAAATAAATAATTCCTCGTTGTAAAATTTAAGTGTAGCATTTGAATGTCGGTTCAGCCGGCCGTGGGTTTATGTAATATTGGTACCTCGGGGCCGTTGGTAAATTCTATGATTTCATGCAATACTAAATCGACGAGATGCAAGAAAGAAAAAAAAATAAGAAAATTAAAGTACAGCTGATGGTTATCGAAGCATAAAAAAATATTCGACCAAGTATAGAAGTGCAATTATGGATTCCGATTCGAGACACGTCCAAGATAAGGTACGTGCAAATGAAGGGCGTTGGTCGTGCGTGCTCCAGGATTTATGGCAAAACCGCAATCCATTATCCGCACCCGTGTACGCAACGAAACGAACGATTGCTTTTTATTACATACGATTGTAGCGTAATAATGCAGTCATTATATAATTGTGCACCGCCTAAGTGTCGAAACGAGCCGCGCAGCTACGTGATTTTCGATAGCATGTTTGCACCCAGCATCATTAACACTTTCGCTGCGGATTACGCACATGTGCGTCCAACTGCAAGTATGTGGTTGTTTTTATTATTTTTCAGTTTTCATTTTTTTTTTTTTTTTTTTTTTTTTTTTTGATCGGCAATCATATTATATATAAAATAAGTTACCACAAATATATGTTTTTCAAAATAATCATATTAGAACATTTGTAAGAAATTTTTCCTAAAGAAAAAGTTGTTTCGAATCACCCCCTAAACCACGCGTTTCAAGGACCTCCAACGTTTTTGGGACACCCTGTATACTCGGATATTACATGATGAAACTTCAAACCCGTTTGCACTTCAAAACATTTATCTTCCAAGTTAGATATCTCAGAAGAATCTCGGACTGCCAACGCGTTACCTAACCGTTCTAAGCGCGAAGGGTTAAAAGTACGAAAACTAGTTTCTTTTATTTTCAAATTGAACAGCGTTCAATTTAATGTCCTAAAGTATGGTTAATTTGTCCGATTACGTAATAATTTGCTCGGTGTAAAATTGAAAGAAACGCGAGGGGAAATCAGTGCTCCAATCTGCAAACTGGAAAGAACTCTCGACCTCTGATCCACTCTGATATACGAGTGGCCAACTTGACACGGTAACCCTTTTTATCGATCATCGTTATTGTTAACGCGCGAAACGAACCGCGATCCTTCGGCACGGCACTCGAAATAATATTCGAGGCCCCGGCCATCTACATCGCACAACCGCGCGAAGCTGATTTATTCCCAATCAGCGGAGCCCCGCGCAAATCCGCCGACGTGCGGAGGCAATATTTTTTTCTCCTGGAAACCGCGTCGCATGAATCTTTCATGAGTCGAGATCCTTTTTTCAATTGCAAACGTTCCCCGATCACGAGTCCTTTTAAAAAACCGATCGTTCCATCAATTATCAAGATAAACCTCGAACGATACTCGAACACATCCGCGAGGTACGCCTGGGTAATTGCATCTTTAAACATCAGCCGTTTTCTTGTTTCGACATTGGCCAAACCATCGCGAGGGATGCTTTTGCCAAATAAACATTTTAATCGGTCGCAGTTTACCTTTCTTCAGAGGTCGATGATTGTTCCACGTTATCTGCACTTCTACTTGTTCGTTGTTTATTTGTTTTCAAAGACCACGGTTCGAGACTACGTAACGAGATAAACGGCGCGGTTGGGAAAGTATTAATGACGCTCTCCACGTCATTGATTCATCCAGTTGTTCGTATCGAAAGCGACTAGATCACGCATTGGGGAAAAAATCGCATCCGTTTTCTTTATCAGTCGCCATCTCGATAATGCGATTTATGATATTATCGAGGTTAACCACAATTCCCCCATTATAATCATTCTTTTTTTTTTTTTTTGCGTTCCTCTCATGACCCACAAACACGTAAATCGCGAGTAACTCTGGCCCGGTACGCATGCTTTTCAAAACGTTACGCGCCGCGGGAAAAGATGTTTATGTAACGCCGTATTGCAACTCTGTTGCGGTCGAGACAGAAACGGGTAAAATTTTATTGAAATAATAGACGACGAATAAAAACCGTAGATGGACATGATTTCGTTCGAATAATAAAAACATAACGTAGGCGGCATTTAAAATGAATAAAATTTCTGCGAGCAAAATAAAAGGTTGTCGATATTTTGTACGTTGCTTGACATTTACGACTAGGCAAAAATGTTGTCCATATCTGGATCGAGGACATGTATTTTCAGAAGTTGTCTCGTGACTTTTTCGCGCCATGAGGATTCGACCTTTCGTTAAAAGATCGTGTCGACGGGAAAATGTCAAAACTAGATCTTCGAATAGCGAATTACCGCCTACGTATAACGTAATCGTTGCTTTGCGCATTGGCAAGGTTATGCATAGTCAACGTGAGACGCGCAACTTTTTTTTTTTTTTGCTTTACAATAACCGAGGCGTGGCTGTGCAATTATTTCGCTGTGACAACGGTCTCGCAAAAACTTGACGAGGCATGGCTGTCTCGATGGAAGAAAGAAAGAATATTGCGTAAAACTTATTCCATACGTGACAAGCGATCAAATTTGTAACTAGATGGTCGATTGCAGAATTAAGAAATATTTTTAAGAGATAAATGCGTATCGATATTCGAGGTTTGGTCTTCTCCTAGATTTTATATACAATAATTGAGTTCAGAGCGATATGATGTGTCTGTATTTAACACCCTCTAGGTATTTAACATCCTCGTTTTTACATTACGCGTTTATTGGTCTCGTTACATCGAGAGAACAATTTAAATTGGATGCTAGAACGCGCGCTGCAGCGGCTCTGGACGAGAAGTCTTCAACTTCTAATCGAACTGTATTGGTTTACCGACCAATGGAATTACCAACTGCTTGCTTTCTATCTTCAGGTAATAAAATAGACTATTCGTTGGTTTCATTCTTTACCGCATCTGTGATGATGTCGCTGCTTGTTCGCTAGGTCGGTACCACAGTTCGCTTCACTCGAAACCATTTTTCGTAAAATTTCAATTTAATTAAGCCTATTACACAAGAAAGTATGTACCAATCACGCCTACCCTTCGATTTACGCGAAAATCCTGGCGTCGTTTACGAAAAATCGTGCGAATCACAAAAAAAATAACTTTTTTTTTTCATTTCTTTTTTGTATTAAATTTTAAGCGATTCTGAACAATTCTACGCAAAGAAAATTGAATTTGGAGCACTAGAAGCTGTAAGAAAGTTTTCTTGTGAAAAAAATGAAATTTTTTTTTTACAAAATTTCTTTTTTTCTCACAAAAAAGTTCGATGACACGAACTTAGTAAACAGAATGCGATACAACTGTAAAAAATATAAGGATATACAACTGACAACTTTCTCAAAGAGAAAACAACGACAGTCAAATTTGCAGAAGACCGGAGTCGCGGTACCTTGGTCACAGCCATAGGGTACTGTTTTCTAGGGTAAAGAAGACAGTAAATTTCCGAAAAAGCAGTGTTTTAATCGATTTTGATAAAATTAAATACGATTTGACAACATTTATATCGATAATCGAACGGGAAATAGAAATTGTTAGTTTTTTGCGTCTTCTGAAAACCTAGGTTTTTGATACAAAGGTACACTTTTCTCAGAAACGGTTAGGTCGATATGAACCAAATTGTTTACGCGTGTTTTCTGATAGTTGGGCCTAATTTACACCGAGTATTTTTTTTTAATTGCAAATGGTTAATTTTTTAAAAATGTGTAAAGTTGAAAAAAGAAATTTATAGATTTGCGGAGTGATAACTTTTTTTGGAATCAAAATATTGAAAACATCCTCGGTGCAAATCAGGCCGAACTATCAAAAAACACATGTAAACAATTTGGATCATATCGGCCTAACAGTTTCTGAGAAAAGTGTACCTTTGTATCAAAAACCTAGGCTTTCAGAAGGCGCAAGAAACTAAAAATTTGTATGTCCCGCTCGATTATCGATATAAATATTATCTAATCGTATTTAATTTTATCAAAATCGATTAAAACACTGCTTTTTCGGAAATTTACTATCTTCTTTACCCTAGAAAACAGTACCCTATGGCTGTGACCAAGGTACCGCGTCTCCAGTCTTCTGCAAATTTCACTGTCGTTGTTTTCTCTTTGAGAAAATTGTCAGTTGTATTTCCTTATATTTTTTACAATTTAATCGCGTTCTTTTTACTAAGTTCGTGTCGTCGAATTTTTTCCGTGACAAACAAAGAAATTTTGTAAACAAAAATTCCATTTCTTTTCTCAAAAAATTTTTTTTACCACTTTCAGCGCTTCAAATTCAATTTTCGTTGCGTAGAATCGTTCAGAATCGTTTAAATTGTAATAAAAAGAAAGTAAAAAAAAAGTGATTTATATTTTTATTTTTTGATGTTCCAAGCCCCTTGATCAGTTACTTACTCAAGTTCATTTGTTCCAATGTAACATACATGTGCAAACCTGTTGAGAAACAAAAACTATCGATCCACGTATTCTAGAAATAATGTTATTTCGAAATTGGGGTCGTCGGATTACAGGGAGATGGGTGCTCCAAATACGGCACTGCCGATGCTATGTGCCATCGGCGCGCTCAGCCAGCGGTCGTCATGGCGACCAGCAATCATCTTCCCCCACCAGTTTTCAAACGAGCCCCCTTCTGCGTCAGTCGTTCGCGAAGCCTCGCATGCGGTGGATTGTGCGTAGTACGCTGATTGTTTTTCGCCGTGTTCGCTCTCGCCCTTTCTTGGCTACCCCTCGTGAAAACCCGTAAAGGAAGAACGGTGCGCCTCGGGGGCGCTGCCGCAAGTGGAAGGTGCCGAATTTCATCGCGGTGATCGACTCTGTACCCGGTTGTCCACACGGTCAATAATGAGGGACATGGCGGGCAAGATCTCCGAGTTGAAGTTCGAGGCACCCCTCGCACGCTTCGAGGAGGAAGACACGGCCAGCTTGAAGAATATGAATCTGCTGACAGGTGCGAGAAAAAGCTGTCGTGTATGTACGTTCAGGTCGCGTAACTCGTTTCGTCGTGCATCTCGCGCCGCCTCTGTCACGGATCCTTCGCGGTAACCTCGCGCGGATCGAAAGTTTATCGCGAACGCTCTCGATTCGGGACGACACTATGTTGTAAACGCATCCCACCCAGTGCCAAAATTACGCGAAACTGAGAGTCACCGATTTCGAGACACTCGTGCGACCACATCATCGTCGTTCTCTATTCTCGTCGTAATCGATCTCGAGCCGCCTCGAAACTGGGTGATTCTACTCGTGAACCAGAGTTGGGCGTTATTCGAACAATTTCGATTAAATCTTTGGCCAGATAAACGATGCTTATCGGTCCACGTGTCGAACCATTTCGCAGATTAATCGACCACTTTATTTGGACACCGTAGCTTCTTCTACGCTGTAGTTTGTCGTCCTCGTTTTACAACCTGTAAATACGTACGGTCTTCCTTGTCAACCTGACGTTCTGTCAACGCAAAATTAAAGAACGTCGAAGGATGATTCACGCTACGAACGAAACGTTTGACCGCAAGACGCGTAACTTTTAGATAATTGTTTCGATAAGACAGTCGAATTGATTCGGATAATCGTTGCTCGTTGTTTGCTATGATCATTGGTGACGATTATAGTTTTATCTTAAGAACTCTGCGATAAAACGTAATTCATTGTCTTCTGCGTAATGAAAACTAGTAAATGAATATTCTTCGAATATTCCTTTACCTAAACGCGTGTTTGTGATGTTTTTCTCTAAAGCGTGTGATTTTCAAATTGTTCTAAGGACTGTAAAATTCTTGTGTACTTGGTGCGTCACATTTTTGATCGTAGTGCGATTGATACATATCACAAACCCACGCGTGCACATAATCGCAAAATCGCAGAGCATTATGATTCTTTATCTAGATAAAGATATGCCCAACTCTGTTACGAAGTTTGCAACGAAAACGATGCAAAAATGGTCGTACGATTGTATCGACGTTTTCCATACATTTGCTAAAAATGACGTCGTTGGTACGAGGCGTACCAACGAGCGAAAATTTCGGGTTTCGAAGAGATATCGACTCCTGCTCTCAAACACCATTAACTCTTTGGGATTAGGTCCCTAATTTAGGTGTGTTAGACACTGTCCCGCCTTTACCTAGCTTTTCGTGCATGGCGTGTGCCTCGTAGAGTCGAAACTTGATAACCTTAGTTTCGCGGTTGTGAAAACGATTCGAGGGGACAGTTGGTATTCGTGCAGTGTCGATGTCACTCTTTGCTTTTCGTGTAACCGGCGTTTTTAGCGTGCGGCGCACAGTGGTCCCAAATGGCCAAAAAGGGCAAAAAACTCAATATCTCGAGAACGGATCATCCTATCAATCCGACAATAGTCTCATTCCATTCGGGATGAAAAAATACATTAGAATTGTGTACAAATTATTTTAATAATAAAAAAAAAAGTAATTTTTATAATAATAAGTCAATAGCTTCTTCGCTAAGGGGAAGGTGTTTTAGGTTCAGCCCTCATATTCGTATGTTTAGGTCATTGAACCTTGTTTTAGCGAATTTTTAACAGGAAAAAATACAGGTTTTTTTTTATGGTTTTTAATCATCGTACATTTTATCTGTCGTGGATTTGTTAGGAATTTACCCGTCCATAATACGTCCTTTAAACGTGAGCCAATTTTTGCGAAGGATGTCTCAAAAATAATGTCACACCTTCATCAGAATAGATTTTAGAAGGAATTCACACATACTTGAGAATAAAATTATGTAACTCCCGAAAGAGCAAGTAGACGCAGCTGAAATTTTCATCATGTTTCCTTGGTGTAATATAGATGAGAAAACGTGATAAATCAAACCGGAGACTGTCGGAGCTTTTTTTGAATCAATAATTTTCATAAAACATTCGAAAAATCAGCGTATTCGCTTTGCTCATAATTTTTTTTTCTTTTTTTTTTTTGCCTAAACAGTAAAAAGTCATGTACACATATCGTTACTAGACATTATTAATGACCGATCAATTCAGTTTTACCCAATCATAAGTGACTGATCTCGACTGATTTTCAAATTTTATTAAATTATAACTTCTTTCAAAAATAAAATTTAAAACAATCATTTTACAGCGTAATTCTACAGACTATTCACAGTAGTCAGGACATGTTCTGTAACAAAAATTTGACTATCAAAAGTTGAGTTTTTTTCCGCGTTGGAACCACTGTGCGGCATACCCACACGCGGAAATTTCGAAACCGAAAGAGCCGTTTCGGCGGTGGGGAACAGGTTTCGTGCGTAAACGCGTGGTCACGCTCGTTTTGCAGCGTGCGAATCAAATAACGAGGGTAGCGTAGCGTATTTAGCCACCATGAAGAAGCGACCTTCGAAGCGCGACAAAAGGCTACGTCACGCGTACAATTGGTGTCTAATATCCTCCGTAGCTTGCCCGGATCTTTCTTCAGCTAAAAACATCCTTGCACTTTCGTTTTAGCTTCTTAATTACCTACCGACGTTGTTCATAGACGCCTCGTAACAATTTTCTTTTCCAGGCAATAGTTACCGTATTTAATATGTCTAATGAAAGCCTCCATGCGGGTTTACAAGAGTGAGAGCTACGCAGACATTTCCATTCCAATCAAACTATAATTTGAAAACGGTATCGCCACGCGATCAAGATATTCGCGCCGAGTTCAATTATTTTATGAAACGTGGTAATTGTATGTACGTCGTTTGTATTTCGAAAGTCTTCCAAGTACATACCGGCTCGTATCACTTTTCACGACATGATGAACACACACAATGGCGGGTCCAGGCGTACATATATGGTACTCGAAGTTAATTACTTTCAGGGACACTTTCCTTTTACGAATACTTCACGAAACGCGAATATTATTATTAGGTTGTTCGGAAAGTTTGTGCCAATTTCTAAGAAAAATTCAAAAACACGTGCGAATTTTAATATATATTTATTGAATTACATAGGTGCCATTTTGTTCCACAACCTTTCCACCCTTTAAGGGATGTATACATGTTATTTGTTTTCAACTACTTTGATATATTCAGACCTGTACCACCTACCAATAATCGACATGGACTTTCCGGACAACCCAATGTGTAATATACAGTCGGTGTAGAATGTATTCGTACACAGATCAATTTCCCCAAAAATTTTTTGCATAAAATTGTAGTTTCTTAACTTCTTTTTTTGTAGTCAATGATATTTTACATATTCTCGGAAATCTCTAAGATAGATATAGTCCAAACAATATTTGCTAGTTAATATAATTTGCGAAATTAACAAGAAAGTGGGAAAAGTGGGTAAAAGTATAGTAGCAATAAGTATTTGTACGATTCTTATGACGAACCATTTACAGTAGAGTTTATAACGTAAACGCATTAGTTTATTGCTCCGTACGAATTAGAAAACATCAAATTTCCAGGAAAGTACTTTTAAAAATGGCTCTAAAAGAGAAATTGAAGAAGATCCCACTTCGAATATCTAATAATTTAGTTAATTTAATCCTTAGAAAAGTTACAATAATTATGAAATCAAAGGGAAATCCCACGAAGGAAGTATTATATACTTATAAATTAATATAATTTCTTTTTTTAATGAATTTTTAAAAAATTAAACATTCGTGCGAATACTTATTGCTTCAATATTTCTATCAATTAATTGTATATTTCTTGTTAATTTCGCAACTTACATAAATAGCTACTCTTTTTGTACTATATTTATTTTAGAGATTTCCGAGAATATGTAGAATGTCATTATTTATCAAAAATAAGTTAATAAATTACAATTTTACATAGTTTTTTTTTAGAAATTGATCAGTGCACGAATACTTTGTACACCCACTGTATTTATCCCCTTATAGAAGTCTTCTTCTATCAGAAGAATTTCTCCTAATCTCTCATTAGAAGTGACTCGATGTCACGCGAAAGCGAACTTTTAAATGAGCGTCGGGAGGTGTTAAAATTTTCAAGAAGGAGATATTCGATCCCCGACGAAAACATTTGATCTGCAATGCGTCATTGGCTTCCACGGGAAAGTGCGCGAATCCACTGTTTATGTAATTGATAACACCCGGATGGCGGCAGACGTAATTAATACCGGTTGCCTTGTAAGTCGAACGCGCTCCCTGGAACCGTTTCGCCTGATATTTTCGCGTTGCGTTACGGCCCTGTGCACAAACGGTGACCCATCTTTCGCGTTTATTGTGTCCCCGTGCCATCGGACTCTTTCTTCGTGTTTAGTGTTTACTCTTCCCTTGAATCGACGGGCAGCGACGAGTCCTCGCTAGTTTGTCATTGGAACCAATTGGATGACGCATCGAGTAAACGTAGCTCTATTTAAGCGTTTCTCGCCGAGATATCGATAGAAACGCATACGATGCTTTTATTATCATGTACCTTAACGTTTCCCAAAGTTTTGCTCCCTGCACGACTATACCTGAGGATTCTATTTATATTTAGTTGTCATTGGAACCAATTTGATGATGCATCGGTAAACATACAGTTGCATGCAAAAGTTTCCGGCCAAAAATAATGTTGGAATTAAATTATGTATAATGGGTGTAAAGTAGAAATACAAATATATCATAGTAAAGAGCTTTTATTATACTATCGAAATGTACAACTCAAGAATTTCATACAACAAGTAATAATTATTTATAACAAAAATAACAATTTTTACTTCTTCATAAGTATCCGGCCGAGTGCAAAACATGAAGAAAAAACACGATACCTGAAGGAAAAATGTTCAGAAATGGTTACAAATGTAACATTATCATCAATATTTAGTAACCATACC